CACTTGTGCACGCGCGCTTGCCCCCCATGTGCACATCCTGCCATTTTGAAAAACAAAATGGTGTCTGCTGCCTCTTGCGTTGCGCGCATATGCGCACAACGGCGGGGCACCCCCAAGAGGGCTCCCTCAGCCGCGTCAGGCCTCTGAGAGACCCAGCGCCGCCATGGGGTCCCCCCAGAAGGCCTCCCTCAGCAGCGCCGGGCCTCCGAGAGGCCCAGCGCCGCCACGGGGGTTGTCCAGGAGGCTTCCCTCGACCGCGCCAGGCCTCCGAGAGGCCCAGTGCCACCACAAGGGCCCCCCAGGAGGGCTCCCTCAACCGCACCGGGCCTCTGAGAGGCCTAGTGCTGCCACAGGGGTCCTCTGGGACACCATTTTGGATTCCAAAATGGCAGCCCGGAGTCTCGTGTGACCTTTCCTACGATGGGAAAGGTTGTGCGAGACTCTGGGTGCCATTTTGGAATCCCATATGGTGCCCCGGAGGACCTCTGCGGCCATAAAAGGCAGCGGCGGTGGCAGGACCGGGCAGAGGCCGGCCCAAAGGCCTCCGTGGGCCACACCCAGCCTATGGGCCATAGGTTGCTGACCCCTGCTCTACATCTCTAGGTAGGACAGGGGAAGACTCTTGCCTGAAATTCTGATGCCAGTTAGATCAGACAATATAGTCTGAGATAGACCAAGAGATTATCTCCATATGAGCCAACTTCCTGTTTCTGTTTCATATAATTGTATCTTTGAGCCAAGGAAAATTTCAATTGCTTCATTGCTTCTTCTCATGCCATACTCATAGGAACATATTTCTGAGAAAAATTGCATAGGATCATATAGTTCACTCACCCCAGAGAACATGTTGCAATGACACATTGGTGTAGTATGGGCTAAGACTTGTTAGAAGAAGTGTGAAAAAATTGGGTCTAGATGCAATTATTTTTGATGAATGCATCCGCAAGCTCTTGACTTAATTAACTGGCTTTGTTTCAGGATTACAACATCCTTGTGAATGCTAGTGGGATAATGCCAAATATTTACTGTTTAAATTTTGTTTAGAGTTGTACATAGACCAAGCCAGAAACCAGACTCTTCTCCTTCCACTCGCTCTCACACATCACACTATCCTCCCTCATATGCAGTAGAAGCCTGCTATAGTGATAGAGCCTCATTTACCTTTCAATCAGGAAGAAGGAAGAATAGGAAGCAAGTCATAAATATTCATGAGACATAAATCATCAACATTCCAAAAGCATCCCCAGACACTGGCTTAAAGGAATAAAACCCACTCCAAAAAGGTGAGGGTTTCTCAGTGAGAATCCTTTTAGCTTGTGGATTTACAATAATCACACAGAAACATCTTTGGTTGCATACTTTGCAGGGTAGTGGGTGGCTTCCATGTATTCATTCTGAAAGTGCCGGCTCTATCGTTTGGGAGAGAGATTGGTTACTGCTTTAGGTGACAGCTGCTGGGGAGCAGCAGTGTCAGCCTCCCTCCTCAGTTGTTCTTCCTGATTTCCCTGGCTTCTGTACAAAGAATGGATGGAGTACCATCTTCTCCTTTGCCTCAGGCAGCATAATATATGTGCAGTCCACATACACTGCAGCTTCACTCCATCTTGCCAAGGTTGTATCTGGGTTTCTACATGTCTGCAGAGAAAAAGGCATCTATTTCCTGAGACAAAACATGATGGCATGCTCACTTCTCTAGTCCTTAATTCCATTTCTGTGCTGCTAAGAGTGGGAGGAAAGGGTGGTTCTTAGGGTGGTACTTGCATCCAGCTTGGCTATTTGTCTTGAGAATGCCTCCTCCTCTTCTTCCAGCTGTACCCTAACCATCTGCAGATTGGGACAAATGTGACCAAGCAACATTGGAATGTGGTCAGGATGGCAAAAGGTATTGATGAGGAAGCTCACACAAGCTAGGAGAATTCATCAGTTTGTTTTTGCCTGAGTCTACTGGGAAGGGAAAGATCCAAACTCCTCCTCTCTTCTCCCCTTGCTGATTTAATCTCCCTGTACACTTTGAGCTCAGTTTGCAGCAATGCAAGTAAACTGAGGACAAAAGAGGAAAGTGGGAGAAGGTGAGAGAAATTAGAAATTGAAAAAGTGGGACAATATAGGATTAATCTGAACTGCCCCTGCCAAATCAGGACAATTGGAAGGGGGGGGGAGAATCAGGATCGACTTCAGCTGGAGTATCATTGCCCTTTCTGACCCAAGGCAGGTGGTGGCTTCCATGTCATTAGATAGGTGAATCCACTCCAGATTTTAGTCTAAACTTTAAAGATGCTAACCAAAGTTCTGAACCATATCCCTCAAATGGGTTCAGTGCCTTGGGTAACCCAGAATGGATCCATTGCCTTGCTGAAATAGAAGGCATCGACCACCTGTGCTTCTGAGACAGCAGCCTCCAGATAGAAATCAGTGCCTGTTCCTGTTCTAGTTGGTCTGCCTCCCATCCTCCCCAAAAGGATTGGATGAGGACATTCATATGGTGATGGGTGTCCAATATTCTCTGGCGCACATCCTCCTGTTACCTTAAAAAGTGGGAAACATGGGGGTCCCCACCAGTAGTGTTAGCATCGCCTTAGGGAAACCAAAGAATGCTCAAAAACAGCCCTACAAAAGGAGGTTAACTTTGGGGTTCTTTTCACCTGTGTATACCATTTCTAACTGCAGAGAAACTCTGGTTTCAGTGAACAGAAGAGTTTTATTTAGAAATGTGCAAAAGTGCATGCAAACATACAAAGCCAGTGCAACCTTAAGAACCATACAAGGCTAACAGAAAGAAAGCTGTGAAGACTGGATAAGGAGAGATCAGGAATTAGAGGGGCAATAATCACCACTCATGAGGATAGGTTCATGGGAAACAGAGAGTGGCTCAGACAGTGTCTCAGAGGAACACTGTGAGGTGAATAAGGGGAAGCCTCTGTGTTCACATGAGGCCAGAGCTGGGGCTGATTATTTATATCATATTTCATACCCTCAAGAGGTGCTTGCTGCTACCAAACAGTTAACAAAGACTTTTATGGTTTTCTCATGGAATTAACAAAAGAACTCCAAAAGGGCTGATGGCTTTAATTCCGGAGTGACAAAACATTGATTGGATTTGAAAGAAGCCATGGATGGTCAGATAGGAAGGATGAATAGGAATGCAACCTGAGGTGAGGTGGAAGGGGTGATCTTTAACTGCTTTGCAATGGGACTCACTTAGGAGATTATTGCACATCTTAAAAACTCGTCTTACCTCTCCTGAATTGAAGTCTAATTCGGGCTGCAGATGGGTCCTATCACATGGCTTTTGTCACCAAATCCACCAGTGGAGTCCAGCCCAGATGCAGCCCAGGGCCCCAAACGTGCTGCGGCAGCCATTTTTCTGTCGGGAGCTTTCCGGCTTTGAAAAATGGCTGCCAGAATATGTTTTGGGACCCAGGGTGCATCTGGGCCGTACTCTGCTGGCAGACTTGATGACAAAAACCATGCTGTAGGACCCATCTGCAGCCCGAATTTGGCTTCAATTCAAGAACGGCAAGATGGGTTTTTAAGATGTGTGATAATCTCCTTTGTGTCTCCATTGCGAGGGGAAATGTGAAGAGGAAGACTGCATTACAGATGGATAGACACAGGGCTGTGGCTTCTGTAATTGAATCTATCCATCTATAATGCAGTCTTCCTCTTTTCCTACTGCCTTCCACCTCACCAAGCATCATTGATCTTTTCAAGGAAGTTGTGGCTTCTCATGATATGAACAACAGTCTCAGTTTAGTCATCTTGGCCTTTAAAGAGAGTTCAGGGTTGATTTGCTTTAGGAGCCATTTATTTGTTTTTTTAGTAATCCTGGTACCTGCAGGGCTCTTTTCCAACACCACATTTCAAATGCATTGACTTTCTTCCTATCAGCTCTGTTCACTGCCCAGCTTTCGCAAGCATACATAGAAACTGGAAATGCAATGGCATGGACAATCCTAATTTTGGTATTCAATGATATAACTTTACACTTCAGGATCATGTCTAGTTTCTTCATAACTGCCCTTCTAAGACTAGTTTTTATTCTGATTTCTTGACTGCTGCCTCCATTCTGGTTAATAACTGAGCCAAGGTATGGAAATCTTTTACTGTTTCAATGTCTTTATTGCCTGCTTTAAAGTTATCTGTGATCATTATTTTTATTTTCTTATAGTGCAGTTGTAAACCTGCATTTCCACTTTCTTCCTTGACTTACTTCCGTAATTGTCACAATCATCCTCCAAAAACCCAGCACTATTTTGCAGAAGGGTTCTTTGCATCTTCTTTGCACCAACTGTAACTTCTTAGAAGTGAATCCTGATTGGTCACTGTCTCTAAATATCACAGATGGCAAATTTAACACTTCTGGGAAAATGACATGACATGATGATCTCATGCTGATATAATCAAATATAGCCAACACAGAAATGCTGTAAGTGTTTACTAATTTTTTTCTACTTCCACTAATGGTGATATATGTAATCCAAACCTTACAGTATGTGCTTAGCAGGCCACACAGGTAAGAATTAGATTTTATAGCAAGATATGCATCTTACTAAATCATCTTTTAAAAATAAGCTGCTCAATAGACACACAGACCTAGCATAAGCCAATTAAACACAGTGGAACTTACTTTCAAGTAAACAAATATAGAATCATACTATAATTTTCTTTACAAGATACCAAAAGTGATCTAGTTCCAAATGCTGACACTGTTTCTAATCAAGAGTGTAAAAAAAAAGTTAAAATTAAATGAACATGATTTTTTGTAGGAATAAAACAGAAGTTTAGATTTAAACTTGGCTGCCAGAATTTCATGCAAATGCAAGTTATAACATCCAAGACTCAAAGAGGCATACTTGTATCAAATTGGCATCTCCCAAGGACTGGGATCTGATATATCAGCCCAGTTTTTACTCTTAATTTCAAGCACACAATTTCTTGTATTTCCAAAAGCACTTTTTAAAAGCACAGAGCAATGAACTCCCTTTTCATTTTGCTATATTTACTAAGGTGTAGTGGTTTGAGTGTTGGACTATGACTCTGGAGGCCAGGGTTTGAATCCCTGCTTGGCCATGGAAATCCACTGGGTAACCCTGAGTGTGTCACACACTTTCAGCCTCAGAGGATAGCAATGGCAACCCCCCATGAAGAAAATTGCCAAGAAAACCCTGATAGGGTTGCCTTAGGATTGCCATAAGTCGGAAGAAGGGAAGGTGCCATCTGCAAATGTACAGGGAGGTGATTCCAGAGTATGGAACAGCGAGTAAAAAAAGATGAAGCCAAGCCAAGAAGAGGAACCCTTTGGTTGAGTAAGAAACCTAGAATTCCTAAAATGCAAATCTCAAGCAGGCTGGAAAACAGAAATAAGCGTTGTGAGATAGGGGAGAACTAGGTTGTGTAAGGCTTTAAATGCTAAAACAAGAAGCTTATACTGACTCCTAGAAGGAATGGGTAACCAATTAAGAGATATCAAAAGTGATCAAAAAGATGGACCAAAAAGATAATCTTAGCAGCAGAATGTTGAATGGAAACAAGAGAACTGAGATGAGATAAAGAAAACCCAGTCAAAAGAAGATGGCAATAATCAAGGCAGGAAATGACCAAAGCATAATCTAAGGCAGGGGTCAGCAACCTATGGCCCGTAGGCCGGACCCGGCCCGCCAAGGCCTTGGAACTGGCCCATGGCCGGTCCAGCTGCCGCCGCCACCGCACAATGCGAGGCGCCATTTTTCTTTCCAAAATGGCGCCCGTGCTCATGCATGCATGTGAACAACATCAGGTGCCATTTTGGAATGCCAAATGGTGCTGGCGCAGTGCGCATGCACATGGCGCCGTCGCCATCTGGCATTCCAAAATGGCACCCGCAGTAGTGCGCATGCATGCGCGAGCCCAGGATCCATTTTGGAAAGAAAAATGGCGCCCATGCTCACGCTGCATGCGCATGACAGTAGGCGCCGTTTTGGGACACCAAATGGCACTGGCACCATTTGACCTTCCAAAACGGCGCCTGCCATCATGTGCATGCGTGTGCGAGTGCGGGGCACCATCCAAAATGATGTCCCGTGCTCGCATACGCAAACGCACCATGACGTTTGGCCTTCCAAAATGGCACCCACCGCTGTGCGCATGCATGCTCGCGTACACATGAGCACCACAGTGGTGGTAGTGCGCATATGCACGCATGGCCTGGGGGCATCGGGGGACAGGGGCCCCACCCCCAAAAAAGTTGCCAACCCCTGATCTAAGGTCTTAGCTGAGTAAGCAGAAAGAAAAAGTCTGATCTTAGCAATGACTTGCTACAGCCTCAATGTGAGGATCAAAAAACAAAGAATCAAAAATAATACCAAGACTTATGTGCTTCCTTCACAAGATAAATGGGAACATCATTAGCACTTATGGGGAAGGCTTTGGAGGAAATTTACCATCTTGAGTTTTAGACTCCAATGAATCATCTGTGCTGAAATAGCTGAGAGACATGCTGTTGATGTTCAATATCAGCAGTGAGTTCTAGGGTGGAGAAATATATGAGTAGCATCAGAATAAAGATGATACTTATAAATCCCAATTTCCCCTGGGCTCACTGTGTGCTGTTTACATTACAAACCCCAGATCAAATCCATGCTGATTCCAAAACATTTGGACCCAATTCAGGGTTTCCACTCTTTCAGCCACATTAAAAAGACTTACCTTTTGCTCTGGATTTTCCAGAAAATCCAGATCAAAACACAGTGACGATGACTGGCTTTCTTCCCACTCAGTCCTTTCAAAGTTGCTCTGCAGGTTGAAGTTGTTCTGAGGTCATGCTCTCAGCAACAGTGCTAGCCAGCTCTCAGGGACCACAAAGGATGGCAGCCACCCACTGTTTGCCAAAAACCCACAGCAGGTAAGCGGGGGATTCAGGTGGAATTTGGGGATAGAATACTCTGGGGGCAGCCTGGTGTATTCTGGCAAATGAAGATGAGCCCCTAGTCTGCTGATCCAGAGAGTATGGATCCAGGATGCTCTAGCCACTTGATGGCCTGATTTGGAAGCCCTACCATTTGATGTTATTCTTGGAGGTTGCCATGTATTCTTTGTTCTGCTTAGAAAACAAGCACTTGAAGGTTCAAATCCACTTTAAAAAAAAAAAATCTGGGATCCCTGCATCTCTTTTAGTCATGAGATTATGACTGAGTGGCCTTCTCTTCTTTATCCCTCTCTGGACACTACTAAAGCTATTGCAGATACTTTGCCAGCAGCTTTCCTGAAGCTTAGTGAATTATCTGTGCACAATTGATTCAAATGAAAGTCTGCTAGAATCCTCTTGAGACGAGGCATTAAGGATGTGATTTTTTCAAACACCAAGGTGATTTAGCTTGTGTGACAAGGATTATGTTTCTATATTGCATTTCAACTGTCAGCTGACACCCAGAAGACACCTCCTTTAAATTTTACCATTTGTGGCACTCTTTTCTTCATACATCTGCAGCATCATTGTGTTTGATAAAGCTGGATCTCCAGGTTTTGATTTCAAACACACTACGGGCATGACTTTGCTGCTTCATTTTTCTCCCATTGCAGAAATGGTCAACTTCTGTATTCGGAACTATCCAGAGAGTGGTTTGAAAACCATGAAAGTGTTTTGCTATATTAACCCAATCCATAGGCTGCTATAATACACTATGCCATCACTACAGTCTACTATAGGAGCAGGCATAGTATGACCCACAGGCTACATGTCCACCCATCCTCCAAAGGCTCCCAACTCCCCCATCCCCAATTTTTCAACAAATTATTTGGTACAATTTGGGGGCAATTTTTGCCCCAAATCACACAGAACACTCTCCAAATGTGTGAAAATACATAAAATTACCCCCACCCCTAGAAGCACCTGAGAACTCTATACTAGCCCCTGTGTTTTCCTCTAAAATCATGCTCAAAATGGTAATGGGAACTGTTGCCATTTTGAGAGGGACTGCAGAGGAAAGCAGAGGTAGTTGGGCTTCTTGTGGGAAGGGTGCCCAGTGAGGAAAAATGGAAGGTATGTTTCTCTGGGAGACAAGATCAGTGATAAGTGACAGGATTAGATTTTCTAATATCTGAAGGGCAGGCACTTCTGCAAAATTGATTTCTGATTCTTCAAACCATAGGGCCCAAATGAACAGGTTCAAATTACTTGAAAAAAAGTTCTGGCTCTGGCTCTGGCTCTGTTCTGGTTCCATATAGACTGCTAAAATATGTTGCTATTGTTGTATGCCTTCAAATCATTTACGACTTATGGTGAGAACCTATCATGGGGTTTTATTAGCATGATTTGTTCAGAGGACATTACCTCGGGGGGGGGGACACCCCAAGATTTGATATAGCCACTCTTATAGTTTTGCCAAATATTTTTTAAAAAAAATGTTAAACAGTTCATGGGTGACACTGTATATATTTAAAAGGTGCAATGTATTTAAACGGTGAAGGAGAGGCAGTTCACCCTTTCTTGTGCATATAATGCATTGCTTTGGGGTTCAGACTGAGCATATAATGAGAATGGGTAACTGATTTATTTGTCTGCTTATTATCTGAGAGCTATGTTTGTTTAGTCTCCCATGTTCCCCCCCCCCCGAAAAATTGGAAGAAATTTGGGGTAGAGGCCTTTCCCATCTTATTTGGAACACAAAATGGCGCCCTGGAGGACCCCCACAGCTGCGAAAAGTGGCGGCGGCGGTGGCGGTGGCAGCAGGACTGGGTAGGGGCCAGTCGGCAGGCCTCGGCAAGCCAGGTGCGGCCCGCAGGCCATAGGTTGCCAACCCCTGCATTAGGCAATAGGCTTGAGATGGAAGGATCCTTCTTAATCATTTCAAAAGCTTTAGAAAGCTCCTCTGATATGCAGTGGGGTTAGGCTGCCAAGCAGATCTCAATCCCTACTTGAAGCCTATTGCTTAACATGCTTGCTGTTTCTGGATGAAGTCAGGCCAGCAAGTTGGTCACTAAAAATATACAAGTCATGAATCAAATTAAGTCAGTGCTTCATTTATTGCTGAGTTGAGCTACTGTGAAGTGGCTTGAGTCAATCAACTTGAGTCTACATCAGTGACTATATGTACACTGCTTATATCCAGATGACTTTCTCGGGTTTTGATTTTTCACTGGAATAGGAAGTATCAAAAGCCAGTAGAGAGGATATTTAGAAAACATATTTATGTGCATGCGTGCATGTGCGTGTCTATACTATTTCGTCTGTATGGAATTCTTGGATTGTGATTTGGACATTTGAGAGTTAAACAGAATACTAATCCCTTCAACAAATACTGTCACATCGATGGGTCAGGATAGTAAATAGACCATAGCGGGTGATCTACAGGGAAGTTTGATCTAGTGGCAATTTGTCTACATATTGTAGTGCCTGAATAGCTCTTCTAAAGATTACCACTTCATCACTTAATTAGCTTTTCCTCAAATCTAGGAGTTAGAAAGACCTATTTTTAATCAGACACAGATTAACAGCACTGGCATAAAATTAATTAATGCACATTAGCTTTATACTGATCTCATGTGTGTACAAAGGCAGAGGTGCCGTTGGGATTTAATTACCAGGAAAAAGAAATTGATTCCTCGTCTTACACAGCAGGTAGCTGATCAATGTCTGAAGTGCCAGCTTCAGAGGTTTGTGCTTTCTGGGATGGCTCTTAGTTTGTCTTGGCCTTGGAAGGTAAGCTTATCTGCCCTGAATAGCAAACAGAGACTTGTATTTCCAAACAAAGAGGCTCAGTATTTTAAAAGGAAAGCCACTGTCCGCAATGCTCTTCCCACTGTTTATGATGGAACTGTTATGCAGAACCTACGGCAACGTGAATAAAATGAACAATGTGTTTTTTGTTGATCGAAACCACAATCCCCTTCCTTTGCTGAAAAGAAAAACGTGTTTCTCAAGGAGCTGACATTCATCTTAGGGGTGTCTTCCAGGTCTAAAGAAGCATGGGTGTTCACAATATAACTCCTTGGGTTTTGCCACGTTTTGCCAGTTATTGTCACCACCCTATCTGTGCATTTCATTTTTGGAGAGAGAGCTGTTTGTAGTGATTTCTTGGCTTTACACTAGGCCT